ACCCTCCTGGCTGCCCTTCTAAGCAAACCTTTCCCTTCCCAACAGCAGCTGTCAGAGTTCTGACTGAAGGCATGTTTCAAGGAATTTAAGGGTTTCACTCTGATAGATACCTTTCATGTAATGTTTTACAATCCTCAGTTGTAACAACTCAAAAACTGTTTTCGAAATACTGTTCTCACGTGAGTGCAAAAGCACCACGGGCAAAGCCAAGTCCGAGGAAGCGGCAAGCGAGCCCTGGGGATGGACACACACACACACACACACACACACACACACACACACACACACCTTCCTGATGTCCCTCTTGGCCACCAGGCCCCAGCCTTTGCCGTCCGTCTTGATGATCTTGGTCTCGGGGTACTGGCGTTTGGTGAAACACTGATTCTGGCAGAACTCGCCCGCGGGGCACACCTGCGGGTGGCACTCAAACATCAGCATGCGGTTCAGACACTCCGAGTCGGAGCCACAGGGGTTCTCGTCGGTGGGCTTGCAGTTGCACTTGGGGATCTCGGAGATGTCCGCCGTGTGGATCTGCACTTTCCCGTAAGGCTTGTTCACCTGCAGGCGAGAGCCGGCCGCCTCAGCCCACTCGCCCCCGAGCGCGTCCAGAGTCCCGGCTACCGCGCCTGCCCCACCCGCCCAAGCCTGCCGGTGGCCTTTCAGACTCAGACCAAGTGGGGACACGGCCGGGAGGCAGGCGGAGGCGGGCCCAGCCCTGCCCTGGGAGCTTCGCAAGGTGGGCTGCAGGGCAGTCCCCCCAGCACCCCGTGCTGGCTCCTCTTAGCGCCGTGTTCTTGGTTCATCCGAGAGCCAGGCCGTGGTCAGAGGAGAGAGAACCACGTGGGACCGCTCAGTGATGCGGGGCACCCAACCAACGCCACGAGACCTGATCCCCTCGCAGACCCCCTCACCCAGTGTACAGAGGCGCCCAAGGAGGCGGGCACACGGCGGCCCCACCCTCGTCAGCTCACAGCTCCTTGTTAAGAAACCAGAGCAAACGATAAAGCAGCAGAGAGAACTGAAAAGAAACTAAAGCAGAAATGAGCAGCTCTAGGGAAACCGTGGTGAGAGACGCCCTCTTCCCCCGCTGGGGGAGAAACTGCAGTGATGCCAGCGCGTTGGGGGAATATCTGGAATAGGCCTCAGGAATCCCAGTTTCATGCTCTCTGACCCAGTAATTGCATGGCTGGGAACTCATCCCAAAGAAAAGACTAAACACACATTAGTAGAGGGAATGCTTCCTTCACACAGACATTGACCGCAGTCCAGATTTTAGGAGCAAAGACTGAGCCCCTGAGCTGCCAGAACTTGGCCAACGCGCGTCGAGAGGCCGCAGGGCCCCGGGCAACAGGGTGCGGGCGCACCAGCTTGCCAAGCGTGGTCGGCTGCGGGGTGCCAGGTGCTGGCGCTTCCTGCGGGGCTCCAGGCCCACGCACTGGGGAACACAGCCCCTGCCCTCCCTCCTGCGCTCCCCACACCCCGAGGCGGAAGGGCGCTCTATCAGGGGCTCCGGCCGCGCACCGGCCTGGGGGGGCCACCGCTCCTCTGAGCCTGTCTGCGGCACTTGGTGACGGCGTACGTGGTCCAGGAGGTCGGCCTGTCCCTCTGCCCCTCCTGCCCCAGGCAGCCTGGCCAGGACTGTAGTTCTAGCCCCCGCTGACCAGCAGGCTGAGCCTCACCCGGAGGCAAAGCAGAGACCTCCGGGGCAGAGACCCCTGCCCACACCCCGTGCCCCCGCGTGGCAAAGGACACGCCGGGTGGCGACGGCATCTTCTCCCCGCCTAGGACGCCTCGTGCAGCTGTCCTGGGCACAGACCCTCGCTTGTGGCCAGCCTCCTGGCCGCCGAGCCCAGCCTGGGGAGGAAGAGTCCGCGGGCCTGAGAGCGACTCACCCCCACCCCCTGCCCCAGCCCCGCCAGGATGGTCACCTTGATGTGCTTGTAGGGTGGGGGCCTGCGCGCGCTCTCCTGCGTTTCTCGGGCTTCCCTTTGAAGTTTGATTTCACGGAAACGAGCTTCGGCTTCTTGCAGTGCTAAAAAGTCAACAAAGTGTGAGTAAAAGATTTTAGCAAATCAACACATCCACCCTTTACGCTCTGTATTTTCACGGTTTAATCTAAACTTCCATCTCACTGCTAAGTGTTGTCTGCGGTTTCCTAAAGACCAGAGGTGGGCCGCACGGCATCCACACAGACGGGAGCTCGGGGACGCCTGCTGGCTAGAGAACCCGGGGGCAGCTCGGTGGGGCCTCTCGGCGAGGGAGCACGGCGCGTCCGCCCTCCGCACCTGCCAGCCGACCCTAAGCCCCCACACGCGTCCGCGTCCGGCGACCTCCCTTTTGAAACAATCCTTGAGAAAGCTGATGGGTCAGCTGTGCGGAGGCCCCAGGCGAGCAGAGGGCCCGCGGCCACCTCCCCGGAGGGGGCGAGGGCACAGGCCCCACTTCCCCGCCGTCCTCACTTGCCGCCCGTCCCGTCCCCTCGGGTCGCGCGAGCGAGACCTGCGTGCTGTCTTCTCTGTCCCCACCCAGGCTGTGGAGTCGGGGGCAGGGCGTCCTGTTGACCTGCCCACAACCTGCCCCTCGGGGCACCTGAGTCTCTGCTCATGGGCAAAGGGAGCCCGCAAGCCGGTGCGCAAGGCCCGGACCGCAGGCCAGTTTCCTGCACGCCGCCATCTCACGTAAAGGCAAGCGGTAAGGGATTCCTGGAAATTAGTACGCAGATGATTTCTTAAAAATAGCTTTAATGCGCGTTAGTGAACGTCACCACAGACCAGTGTTACGAAAGTCATTAAACAGCACCTCTTACCCTCTGCTTCAACAAACCAGTCTACAGACCTACTTTTTTCTAACGTAAAGTACAGCCGGAATGCTGAGTCCAGCGCTTTCTACAGAGGTCAAACATTTGGAAGCAGAAATGAGGACTGGCAAGGGCACCCGAGCGCGCTGTCTCCGACCACCTGGGAACCAGCCTCCGTACCGTTTTTGAAGACTCTTCCGACCCCGCTGACCCCCTGGTAGCGGCTGCCCCGGTCCCCCTCCATGTACGGGAACACTCGCGCCTGATGCGTCCAGTAATAATCTTTAGACCCAAAGAAAAACACAGGGAATTCTCCAATCTCGTGCTTCATTTTCTGAATATTTGGGGGAACATTTTTGGGATGGCAAACTTCTGCCGGCCACCATCTATTATAAATATTAAAAACAGGATTCACAGACTCTTCAGAGAGAGTGACGGTAATTTCAAAGCGTTAAGTTCTGTAAAGTAAAACAAGACATTTGAACAAGGAAAGAGGGGCGGAGGCGCCTCCTCCCACACCTGTAGTTCCCCAGCTTCACCCAGATGATGTCCTGGAAGTGCAGTTTCTTCCCGGCCCTGCAGTCGTTGCAGAACCAGCTGCCGTCGGGCATCTCGATGTTCAGGCAGTCGGGGTGGAAGGCCGCCGGGCAGGACTCGCAGCACAGCAGGCTTCCCCCTGCACAGAGGGCGCCGTTTAGCACCCCCCACCCGGCTCAGCCCCGCGGCCTTCCCGGTCTACAGCTCTTACCCTCTGGCCCTCAGACAGTAGCTTAAAGAGTCACCTGCGTGTTAACACAAAGCACGCTTTGTTTTCACCACTAACGATGTCCCATAAGCCTGTGAAACGGGCACAGTAAACTCAGAGACCCCACGTACGCGACTCTACGTGTGCAAGCACGGGGCGGCGGCAGGAGGGCGGAGAGCCAGAGCCCGAGAGGCGCTGCAGCCGGGCCCACCCTCGGCGCTGGGAGTGCCGGGAGGAGCAGCGCCCTGACCGTCCAGATGGACCCGACGGAACCGCAGGGCCGGACGCGGTGAGGCTCCTCACCTTTGGAGCACACAAAGCACCAGCTCACGTTGACATGGGCGTGATGCCTCTTGCCCTTCCGGGCGGTGAAGTGATTCGTGCAGATGACGCTGTTGGACGCGATCACCGAGCAGCCCGCCGCCAGACACGCGTCCCCACCATGGTAGGCGACCGGGCATCGGACACACCGCATCATTTTACCTGGAGAAGGGGAGACACCCCAGAGCCCAAGGCACTGAGCAGCGCACCCCAAGGAACCAAGCCTCCACAGGTTTGCAGGCCCGCTGCAGAAATACACTGGAAGCAGTTGATGAAAAAAATAACTAGAGTGGGAGGGTAAGGATATTTATTAGATGTCATGAAAACACATTTCCTTAAGGCGACGGTGCTTCTAAACGATGTCAGAAAACCGTCAGGCACTTAAAACGCTGTTTCCTAAAATTGAGGTCAGCCAGGATTTCTCGGCCTGGGCGCTGCTGGCCCAGCGGGGGCCCGCGGGGCCGTCCTGTGCATGGGACGGTGTTTAGCAGCACCCCGGCCTCTACCTGCTGGGCGCCAGCAGACACCCCGCAGCATCTCCAGACACGGCCGTGTGTCCCCTGGAGGGCCGGCTGAGAACCGCTGGCGTCAGGAAGCAGAGGTAACCCGCCACCCCCAATGCCACAGACCTAACGTGACATCACGTAGACGTGACTGGATTTTAAAATATTTTTCTCGCACGTGAAGGACCATTAAAGCCAGAACAAATAGAATCCATCAAAATGGCGCGAAGGCCTCCCGCTCCTAAAGCCAGGGATCTTTAAGACGACACTTAGGGCGGGAAGGAAGGAGAGTATCAGGAAAGACCCTAAGCCCCCCCCCCGCCCACCCCACCCTGTGTGGAGTCAGTGACAGGAGACCCACCAACCGCTCCTCCAAATCCACACCAGGGGTGACAAGCCCGACAGCCCCTGCCTGCCCTCTACGCGCCCGGGACCGTGTCGAACCAGCACGGAGGCTCTCGCTCGCGTCTGTACCTTTCGACGGCCTTGGGTTCGAGGGGTTGGAAGCATGGCAGCTCAGGCAGCTGTGCAGAGGGCAGCGGAAGCCCCGGCTCTCGAACACCGTCAGCGGGAACTTGCGCACGCAGGCCTCGTGGTAGAACTTCCCGCACTGTGACACGACGCAGCGCTTGACGTCGGTCTTGCTCTCCTTACACACGAAACACGAGTGAATCCCTGACGGGGTCGGAGGGGCGGAGAGAGGGGCACAGAACAGGACCTGAGCTGCAGCTCCTCGTGGCTGGAGCACCGGCTCCTCCTTCAACCCCGCTGGGATCTGAGCCCCGGCTCTGCCGCAGGGACAGGCTGGTCTGACCAGGCGGCCCAGGCGGGGCGCGCCCTCAAACGAGCAAGGAGCTCTGGGGAAGGGGCTCCTCCCAAGAAAGGCTCCCGCCCTCCCTCCGAGGGCAGCAGACCAACTGCAGAAGTGCCCCACGGCCGGCCCCGGGGGCTCCCGGGAAGGCTCTGGGTGTCCTCCCGACACGGCACCAGTTGTGAAGAGTCCGGCCAGGGGACAGGAGGTGGACGGTGACCTCGGCCGAGAGCCGGAGCACACGGCAGGGCGCGGCGGGGCACGGAGGGACGGGGCGGGGAGGGGCGGGACGTACCTGAGGTGCACTCGCTGCACGTGAACCTCCCCTCCGGCCTCCGGGAGAGGCCCAGGCAGGCCAGGTGGAAGGCGCCGCAGCAGGGGCCCTCGCACAGCACCAGGCTGCCCGGCTTCTCGCACAGCTGCAGGCGACAGGGGCGCGAGACCAGGTGTGAGAAACAAAACTCCACACGATCCCCCGACCCCCGGCGCTCTGGGGCCCGGGCTGAGGGGAGGGAGGAGGGCCGACGAGGCCGGGCTCCCCGACCGGCTGCGTCAGAGGCCGCCCGCCCCTCACCTGACACACGTGCTCCTTCTTGGCGGTCACTCCTCGTTCAGACCTTTTAGACGAGACGGACACTTCGGTCTGGGTTTCGTCCGCACTCTCATCTGGGGACTCCGGGGGCTCGTCTCCGGGGCCATCCGAGACCTGGGAGGAAAGAGGCGGACGACAGTTCACAGTGGCCGCCAGCAGCCCCGCCAGCTCCCCTCACACGCAGCCACCACTGGTGTCCGTGATGACACACTTGCCGATAAGCCGTGTACAAATTCGGAAACGGGCTCCAACCCGCTTGATTTTTGGTACACAATGTGCGCAAGGGGCACAAGGCTTAACAGCCTCTCCCCATTCCTTACAAGTGAAGTGACTTTTATGAAAACCCAATTTGGTCTAGTAGGTGACCTAAGATGGGCTTGGGGACCCAGAATCTTGGCTTTTCTTACCCGATCTGCTAAAGGTTCAACTACCTTAAGGGAAGGGAAACAAGTTAACCTCCAACACGCTTTTGTGTCAAGTGCAGGCCTTGGTGGCGCGATCGTGTCACTCCGGCCGTGGTCGGACGGTCGGCGACCCGGGACACGTGAGCTCACCGAGGTCAGGAGCCGGTCTTCCAGACTCATCGCACCCGTAACTGACCACCCGCCCATTCGCCTCCCCCCACGGGGCCAGGTGGGGAGGGGGCACACGCTGCCGCCTGTGCCCATGGCAGTCCGCGCGACAGGCGGAGAGACGGGGACTCGGAGCAAATGCGGTGACTCACGGGCCGTGTTCCGTCCATCTCGCCTTCATTTACCAGCGATGAGTGAGGCCGGGCTACAGCCTCCCCTCATCACTGTACACGGCTTTTTCCCTCACTTGACCAGCAATAGCAAATCTTTAAATAGAAATCAATAAATCTTTAGTCAGAAAACTTTCTCATATATCAAATTCAGGTTTGTTTAAAGCCTAAAAACACATTTGGTATTTATCTGATGTTTATCAAATAAATGTTGAAAACTGAATTTTTCAACAGAGCAAACGTATAAGCTGCATTTCCTGTACACCTCAATGATCACAGCAACCAGTAAGTATGATCTAGGCTTGCTGTTTGCCAGTGAACACAAAGCTAGAAATTGAATCGGGCCACACTGTTTTTTTAAAAAAAAACACCAAAAAACAAAAGAAACCCCAGCAGGCCATTCACCCAACTCTGTAGCCTCACCAGTGAAATTCTCCCAGATTTACCTCCCTGAAATTCCAGGGAGCAGCAGAAGGAAAAACCCCTGATAAAACAAAGGGGTTTTTGATGACTTAGAACCTGGTGTTAAAGTGGGCTGACTTTTTCGAGGGATGTGTTGGCTGACTTGGCACCGGTGGCAGGGTGACAGGTGTGTGGGCCACCGTGCCAGCCTGGACGCTCTCCTAGGCTTGACAGCGTGAACAGCACTAAAGCACAGGTCTCAGCCCGCTGCCACGAGGCTGCCCACTGGAGCCCCCCCCCTACGGCTCACCTCCTAACCCTCCACACTGACACCCGAAAGAAGGCAGTAAACTGGAAGAAGGCTGAGTTCAAACCCCAATTCAACGTGTCCGTCAGATGGAGGGTCACAGATGGGGGCGAGCACCTGAGGCGAGTCTGCAGCAGGTGCTGGGGCAGCTGGGCACCGGGAAGGGCAGCAGCCCCGCTGGCCCCGGTCCCACTAGGCCACCTGAGACCCGAGGCCCAAAGAAAGGGCCTCCACGTGGGCTCCAGGGAAGAGCCCGGTGCCCGACCCACCAACCCAGGTTCTTCCCTCAACGTGGCTGCAACAAATTTAAAAGCTAAAAAAAAAGAAAAAGAAAAAAGGAAAAAAGAAAAAGAAAAAATGCACGGAGAGAAAGACAGAAAACACAGACCAGTCCTGGGTCAAAGGAAGGAACAGCACCTTTTATTTAAGATTTACAGAAAAAGTGAGCACGTTTCCACTTGGAGATATTTCCTAAATTAACAAAGTCTGGTTTGAGGAAATAAACACTGAATACATATTTTGAATGGAAGTATAAATGTTCACGACACACACGAGGCGCATGTCCTGATGGGTCTAAGATACACACACAGCATCAGACCTTACAAAAGCACAGTCCGTGACGGGTGCGGGAGGGTCCAGCTTCCATCCCACCGCACCCCTTCCCCGCGACTCAGCGGACCCCTAGCACACGGCCGGCCGGGGGTCTGAGGGCAGAGCGGGCGGGCACCTGGCTCCGGCTGCAGGCTCCACCTCCACGTGCACCAGGGGCCAGTACTTACTCGGAGATGCGTTTGTGAAAGCGACACATTCACCTGCACGGTCCCAACACAGTCCCACATCTCAGGCTACGACCTCTACGGTCTATTCCATATCCAATAGGATGCATTCGGAAAGAGAAAAACGCAGTGACTGAGTGGACGGACGCGGACTGCCGGGCACTTCCCGCCGCGCCCGAATCCACCAGAGCCATGCCTGCGGCTGCTCGACCAGCAGCTTAGCTCCTGACTTTCCAGTTTCCTCCAGTCTGAAAATACTCTACTCTACTCAGTATGTGAAAGCACGGAACTGCCCGTTTGCCTCGGAAATACATTCCCCTACGGGCAGAGAATGTGGTCTCCGTGATCATTACAGGGATTTTCCAGGATGATTATTAACGAACATAATGTGACCTAGTGAACACATTTAAACCGATTTCGAGAAGCGACTTGTGCAAATCCCAGGCAGGTCCCTCCCCGCCGGGGCTGGAGAGCAGTCCCCTATGCCTCGGACAGAGTTACAGTGAGGTTCAAATCTTTTAACAAAACACATCCCTTCACAAGTTGCACACTACATCATTTAAAAATACAATTACAGACCTTGAACAACAGATATTTCTATAAACCAACATTACTTTTATGTTTAAGTTACGCTTTTGTAAAGGAAGAAATAGATAACTAGAAGTGTGTTCACATAGGATTCTGGATTGACAAATGATACGAATCCTGTGCCCAGAAGATTTAATGAGCTTAAAGTCAAAAGACTAATCTCAAACAGGTCTTCCAAGTTAATATCACAGTGAAATATTAGGGTGGGATTAAAGTAATTTGAAAATTAGTCATTCATCACCTGAAATACTATAATTCAAACAAAAGTTATTGAACTTGTATTAAAGCAACCCCTCTAGATGACACAGCTCGACCCTTCCTAGCTGCCCCTAAAGTCCAGGTCTGAGTCATGGGAACACACCCTGGCACTATCCTCACACCCACCTTCTAACCAGGCAGCTCCTGTGAGAACCGACAGCCCCAGGAGGTGCCAGTGAGAACCATGTGGTGACCAGGCAGGCCGTGGGGCTGCTGTTCCAGACACAAGGCCAGCCCTCGTCACAGATAAAATGAGTCTCTAAAATGTCCTAGCAACCCAACATTGTCCCAACTGTGTCCCCAGCGGGGACTGTCCCACAGAGAGTGGGCTAGAGAGGGGAGCTGGGGAGGGGCCTGGCCGGTGGCTGCAGGCGCCAGCGCTGAGCGACCCACCCCACCCCCACTGATGGGCCGGGCTGCCCTCCCCAACCTCAGCCGTTTCTGGAAGGTGCAATATGCCCCAGATGGTTAGCACATGCTTCAAAACACATGCCAAAGAATTATATGCAAAACCCCAACACCTACATTCAGGCCAGAAAAAACTGTAGCCGTGGATCTACCAGGTAACCAGGTAGCTACAAAGGCATCTCACAAGATGAGGCTTGTCTGGTTCCTAAACAGACACTGAGCAGGCGGGAGGGGCCCCCCAGGGTGTCCTCGCTGGTGGAAATGCCCAAAGCGAGTGGCCCCTGACCCCGGCAGTACAAGCAACAAGATGGAGGGATGCAAGGCATGTGTTTGTTACCTGCAAAGGACACCCAACTTCCCATCACTGGCAAGTAAATCAGCACTAGTTTCTAATATTCTAGGTAAAACAGCAAAAACAGTACTTAAAAGGATGAAAGTCAATTTCACTGACCAAAAATCCTAAAATATACAGGAGTCAGCATATTTCTTAAAAAAAAAAAAAAAAAAAAGAAAATGGAAAGCCAATCATAGATTTGAGAGCATTTTGAGAAACTTTTCTAATAAGATAGTGATATATTTCGGTTCTTTCAGCAGAAGACTGTAATTTAGATTCATAATGTAAACGATAAAACTGAGCCCTCAACAATTACTACTCCTGTTCACAGGTTTCTAAAAGCTGAGGTTGTGAAGCTATTGATTTTAAAGCATAAATGCTAGTCTCACACTAAGTCAAGGCCGCTCTCACACGTCCACATACAAACGTCCACATACAAACGACCAGCTGTGACCAGAACAACCTTCAACGTGAACTAACACCTGAAAGGAGCAGAGGAGCTTCAGAAAGGAGCTGAGTCAGAAACAACCAAATGGAAAAGGGATCAGGCACACTTGCCAAAGTCACAGTGACTGTACTCCCCAGCTCCCCTTTCAGACAGGAGTCCCTCCTGGGCCGGGGGTTGGGGGGGGGGGTGCCTTCTCGCCCACCTGGGGCCGCACGAGGCCTCGCCCAAGCCAGCCAAGAGTCACCCTCCAAGCAAGCACTGCTCCTTCTACTGGACTCATCAAATGGACAGAGGACGCTCCTTTATTTAAAACACTTACACTGCTACTGAAATGATGAACAAAATCTCAGCTCTTCATCTGCCACAGCGGGCCCGACGTCCAGGCTTTTGGTGGAGAACCCTCATTTTAAGCCCACACCTGAGCACCTTTTATGTTTTCGGAAGTAGATGCTAATTTACAGTCTGGCTTTTCGTTAGAACATTTCTAAGACAGACTCGATAGGTATGAGAGTCACCCCCAGTCTGGCCACGCTCACACAACCCAGACCTAACCCTGGGGGAGCAGACCAGGGCCCAGGAGACCGAGAGAGGCGGCACACCTCGCCTTTCGGCTGACCTCTCCTCCGGCGTGTTCGGCTGCTCCCGTCCCCTCTACCACGGCAACCTCTTGAAGTGGCCAAACCCGACCCCCGCCCCCGCCATCCCACTCCCCGGGCCCTGAGCGCTCCACCTGAAACGTTCCTGTGGTTCTGCGTGGACTTCCCACGAAAACCACGGCATCAGGCACAGCTAACGCTGGGACGGGGACCTCACAGAGACCACCCTGGGAGCAGGCTAACCCTCCCACACTCACACACGGCAAAGAGCCACCCTTTTGCCTTACGTTTCTGAAACTTTGCTTCCTTGTGAAACTTCACTTAGGTTTCTTGTCGGTTTTTAGGAATATCCTCTTTAAAATAGTGAGGTTACTTTCAGTTGGGAGGTATAAATGTGCGAGATACTAAAGAGAGGACTGAGAGGCAGCCTCACCTAAGTCCACCACAGCTGAAGACTCTGGGTAAGGTGCACAAGGAGACAGGAGTCCGGGGCGGCAGTGGGAGCAGCTCTACCCGACACGGCCCGGCCCGGCCCGGGGGCGCCGCTCCGGTGCCGCGGGCTACCTTCATCTCTGGAACAGCTACCATCTCAGCTTCTGTACACTCAGACAAGTGTCGCCTGTGGCCTCCCGTTTTGTTCCAGAGGCCCTCCTCACAGCCACCCCCCCCCACCAGGCCCAAGTGTGGCATGTGGAAGGAGTGGTCATGGCAGTGACTCTGTGCGTGGTATAGCCAGTCACCTCAACAACTGTCAGCTCAAATGACCAAAGGCCAGGGTGAATCAGCATTACTCTGACCTTAGGAAATGAAGACATTCCGCGATAAACAGCAGCATAATGAATCTGTACTCCTGCAGACAAACTACTGCCTGACCCTAAGCTCTTTCAAAACAGGAGCCCCTTCCACTCCCCTCCTTCAGGAAGCTGTGGGCAGGCCCTCTCGGGAACTCTGCCCCCCACCAGCGTTCCTCAGTGAGACCACAACAATGCGGACTACATCTGCCTCTGCCTGCTGGGCACCTTCCCACCTGCCGTGGGATGAGAACCCCCCCCCCACCCCCCGCGCCAGCCGCCCCCCC